GCTCCATTTGACTGGATAGGTGAGGTTTGTTTGTATATAACTGTAGTTTATTGAGTAGTAGGCCTATTTTTATTAACATGCAAGTTCTCTTATTCTTTTGTTATTTGCAGAATTGTACATCAGAGCTTCCTGTTCCTGTGTCCAGACTAAGAAGCTCCAGTTTACTGGATAGGTGAGGTTTGTTTGTATATTTGTAGTTTGTTGAATAGTTTGTACCATTACACCGCTGTGTGTAAGCTCTTTTGGTCACAGTTGTATTTCTAATGCTAAAAATACTGTATAATTATTTTTGTTATCCATTTTTCACATTCACAAATTAGTCCCTGCCTCCACTTTAAGCGCTTTATATTGTTGTTAGTTATATAAGTGCAATTATTCAATGCCATTGCTATCCATTTATGTTAGCACATACATATTTTGTTTAATTTATGAAATGTAAAGTAAATGACATGTCTTTGTCTAATAGATTGAAGCAGAGTTCAATCTTCACCCTAACTTCAAAGGACCTCATGCAGTAGTTTCTGTCGGGTTTGGACCAGTATACACCCAGATTTCTTCAGCTGTTTAGAGCAAAGATGAGCAGCATTTCACAATTGGAAAGTCTTCTCAGCGAGATCGACAGTGATGTATTTTAGTTTTGTGCTTGTTCAAATTAAAACATGCTTGTTGTTGTTTTTTTCTAAGTTGTTTGGGTTTGTAGAGTCACACACCACACAGGGCTCAACACACTGAACCCTGTTGATCCCTGTTTAACTGCATTATATGGAAAAAAAACCCTGGATTGTTTTCCTTCAAAAAAAAAAAAAAAGTTTTTCAACTGAAGAAAAACAGGCATTATATATCTTGGATGACGGTGGGTGGGCCTCAGGCCTCTGAAGGGATATTTTGTGCATTTTAAAGTTAAATACTTCAGTCTGGTACACTTTTTTGTTGTTCATGATTTGTCTTGTGAATTTCTGGTTATTGGTTTTTTAAAAACAATGAATGTTTAATTATTTTTTTTCTTGACATGGTCCTTTATGCCGTACCAATGTATGTAACTGAATATAAAAATATCTTGTTTGATTTTAGACACTTTTATACGGTTTATACAGTATTATTGTTAATGCAGTACATTACTGTATGTTTGTACAGTATTGTTCTTGCAGTACATTACTCTGTATTTTATGCAGTATTATTGTTTATGCAGTACATCACTATGCTTGATACAGTAGCCTACATTATCGTTGTTCATGCAGTACATTACTGTGTTTTATGCAGTATTATTTTTTATGCAGTGCATCACTGTTTCATACAGTATTGTTCTTGCAGTATATTACTCTGTATTTTATGCAGTATTGTTTATGCAGTGCATCACTGTATGCTTCATACAGTATTGTTCATGCAGTACGTTACTCTTTTTCATGCAGTATTATTTTTTATGCAGTACATCAATGTATGTTTCATACAGTATTGTTCTTGCAGTACATTACTCTGTATTTTATGCAGTGTTATTGTTTATGCTGTACATCAATGTATGCTTGATACAGTAGCCTACTTTATCGTTGTTCATGCAGTGCATTACTCTGTATTTTATGCAGTATTATTGTTTATGCAGTACATCACTGTATGCTTCATACAGTATCCTTGTTAATGAACTGAACTTGTTTTAGTGGAAAAATAAAATTCAAATGATTAAACTTAAATTGTTTATTGCACTTGATTTATAAAGTCCTGTAAACTTTATCTTCAGTTAAGACTTCACAATTTAAGTTCACAAAACTTAAAAATTTAAGGCAGCACAAACACTTACTTTTTTAAGTTGAAACAACAAATTTTTTTACAGTGCAGGGTGCAAATTTCGGCACTACACCGGATTTTTTGCGCCGCGGGATTAAATTCCCGAATAAAACGCGGTAGCGGTCGGTAACTGGTGTAATTTGAACGGGAGCGGGCGTTCTAACAATATCCCGTTCCCGACGTCCATTTAGATCAGCATATGTGTGCTTTATTCTTATTGACCACCGGTACAGCCTGCACTCGGACTGTCAAGCACGCGCTGCACACATGCTTTCTGCATCACGCGTTTTATTTGCGGGGTCTGTGCAGCATGTGCATACCAATGCTCAGAGCAGGCTGTACCGGTGGTAAATATACGGCCCTCATTCAGA